TTATATTTTTATTGTTTATATAATAAATTATTTTAAATTTTAATGATATTTAATATACAGTGTAACTAATGAATAATTATTTTTAGGCCGGCAATGTGGTTACTGGTGAAATGGTTGAAGAATTAATCTTGTCTGGTGCTGATATTATTAAAGTTGGTATTGGCCCAGGATCAGTATGTACCACACGTATTAAGACAGGTGTGGGTTATCCTCAGTTAAGTACGGTTATTGAATGTGCTGATGCTGCTCATGGTCTAGAAGGGCATATTATTTCTGTGAGTAAGATTACAATTTCCATAATATTAATTTTATTTTGTTGACAATTCTCAAAAATTAAAATAGTGTTGAATTGTTAAAAGTATAATTTTAATCTAAAATACTTAAATATTACAGGATGGTGGATGTGTTTGTCCTGGAGATGTTGCTAAGGCATTTGGTGCTGGAGCTGATTTTGTTATGCTTGGTGGAATGCTAGCTGGACATGATCAAAATGGAGGCGAATTAACCATTAAACCAAATGGCACTAAGTGTAAATTATTTTATGGTATGAGTTCGCTAACAGCTATGAAAAAACATGCTGGTGGTAAGGCAGAGTACAGGTATGTTGTTATTATTATTATCATTAAAGACCGGATTTATATGCATTTTAAATTGTAAAATATACATGCAAACATACACTAAAATTAGTCTAAATATGCAAGAAAAGCAAAACATGCAAAATAAAGTTTCAATTTTATATTAATTTTGCTGTGATAATTATTTATAAATTTTATTAAAATTTTCATAAATAAAAATTAAGATGTATAATATATTAATATAACAGATATGCAATACAAAAATTTAATTTGTTAAATTGTATTTAAAATTTTAATCATTGATACATTGTAAAAAAATATTTTATTAAAATTAAATAGTAGATGATACATTAGTGATATAAGTAAAGTAGGACCTATAATCTRTGTTTTTTGTTTAAATATGCAAAAATATGCAGTATAAAATTTTGATATTTAATCAATCAAGTAATGATTTGTGGAGTGTGGACGCTCATTTACTACATGTATATGATGTTGTAGATTACAACATGCATTTTATGCAAAATCCGGTCTTTAATTATTATTATATGTCATAGATTTAATTATTAATTTAAATAAATTGATTATTTTAGAGCTGCTGAAGGAAAAGCTGTTGAAGTGCCATACAGAGGTGATGTAAATGATACTATTCTTGATATACTCGGTGGACTTCGTTCAGCGTGTACCTATACAGGAGCACATACATTAAAAGAGTTGCCTAAACGTGCCACATTTATTCGATGCACTCAACAAGTGAACTCTGTGTACTCCAACATAACTACTCGAGAATAAGTAACAATACTGTCCAATACTCTTGTATAATGTATATTCTATTATATGGTSCATATACCTTTTAACAAAAAGGTTACCTGATACGGGTATAAATTATTAATACCTGATAATATCCAATTATTGGTTCTATAGCATGATTTATTCCAATTTCACATTTTGCATTACCTAAGCGCCTATAGAATTTAA